AAACCTCCCCTCCCCATCTGCCTATAAAAGCAAGTGCTTGTGTGATAATAAGGAACTGCTCAACAGAACCCCTGCTGCGTCTGAGTGTCTTTTAAACCGGGCTGGTTGGGGCCGGCGGTTGTGCTCACCTCTCTTCATGGCTCTCTTCCTCTGTCTTCTCCCAACGGGGACCAGAGGGAAAGAGGAATCCGGGCCATTTGCTCACCCACCAAAAGGAATGAGGCTAGGGCTGTTTGGGTCGGCCGGTGGCGGACCTGACAGTGTGGTGCCCCTTGTGAGGAGTTTTTTAAAACTCGTGGGTAAAAGGTGAGCGAGTGAGGTCCCTAGCTGCTCAGTCCTGAAAGAAGGTTGACTAATGGTGACCAATCAACAGAGTGGCCCCTGCAACCGCGGTAGTTGCCGTGAAGCAATCCGCCTGCATGTCAGGGTGAGTACCATAACAGGGGGAAGTCCCTGCACTTCTCTGCCCTGTTGCTCCCTTTGTCCCTTCCTCACGGGGCAACATGGGAGGCGTGTGTGGGAAGAGTGACAAGACAGCCTGCAAGGCTGTAAAGTACATGTTAAAAAGCAGAGACCTAGAAATATCTGACTCCACGGTCACCAATGCATGGCGTCATGTGGTGAAGGTGGACCCTTAGGCACCTTCGTCCAACTTGTTCTCATATGAGACTTGGGACCAGGTTCAGACCCTGGCCAGAAAGAATGAGATTAGTCACGGGCTAGACCCTCCCTTAGGGTTCTACCCAACCATCTCTGCCATAAAGCTTTGCTTCCATTCCGAGCATCAGGAAGGGGCAGAAAGGGATTGGGCGCAGTTCGATGAGGAGAGAAAAAAGGAAACAAAGCTGTCAATGCAAGGCTCTGAGCAAAGTTTAGTCAAAGGAGAGAAAGCGGTCCTGAAGAAGTGGAGGAGGCTAGCACACCTTTAAAAACATCCCCGGCAGAGCCGCAGGTTTTTCCTGTCATGGCTTACTGGGAACCCCCAGCCATCCGCAGCCTGTGGGGGGAAGCAGCCTCTCAGGCCTATCCGGTCAGCGTTGTAAAAGAACTAAAAAAGGCTGTTGCCGAGGCCAGGACTTTATCCTCAGCCTTGCAGGCTCAGACATAAAACTTAACCGAAGCCTTCAAGGTGTTTACGGCCCTGATCCCCTCAGGAAACAATACTTCCCCACCCTACAAGGGACACTGTTTTGTTTTTTTTTGGTTTTTTTTTTGGTCTTTTGTCTTTTTCTGTGTCCGGCAACGGATCGCAACCCTCAGTGTTGNAGGTGAGCGAGTGAGGTCCCTAGCTGCTCAGTCCTGAAAGAAGGTTGACTAATGGTGACCAGTCAACAGAGTGGCCCCCGCAACCGCGGTAGTCGCCATGAAGCAATCCGCCTGCGTGTCAGGGTGAGTACCATAACAAGGGGAAGTCCCTGCACTTCTCTGCCCTGTTGCTCCCTTTGTCCCTTCCTCACGGGGCAACA